CTTACACTTGTCTGTGTTAAACCCCATCCTGTTCTCCTAGTTGAAATCTAAATGCTGTATATAAAACTGGAATATCAATCTGGAATTAGTAAGTGCTATAACATACAACATGATATTAAATTAATGTGACTATTGAAAGATTTTGGATTTTAATGTTTTGGGGTGATTCACCACATCATCTGTTAGACTACTTGCTTTTCCTTATACAGTTTTCACCACATTTGCAGTATTCAGTACAAGAAATGTCATTTTTTGGCACGGTTACATGTCAGCAATAATTAATCAGGAACAGAAAGGAGACATTTGTCCAGAAAAACAGTTCCACTCGGGTCTTTGTACCACCCAAAATCTTTCAGATTTAACATACTTCTGTAGCTGCTATCATCCAGGCTAAAGTATTCACGTGCCACAAAGAAGCATCTCCTGAAATGTGCATTTTGAAAAGAGAAAGAACTGGAGGGAAGCTGTGAGATCGGTTTCCTTTTGTACAGTGCAAAATGAAGCTCATCAAATGTTTTGCAATGAAGTGATGGCTGTAGGACCGTAACAAGGTATTCTTCAGCCTGTTAACTACATCCTCAGAAAGCGTGTTACCTTCAGCAAAACCTAACAGGAATTTCTCTGGTGATGTATTCAATGCTTACAGTTTTGATTCCACTTTGCTGGTGACATCAGGGTCTAGAACAGCCTGCCATCGGAGGTGGCTCAAGCACCTACATTGAACACCTTCAAGAGAAAATTGGATGCTTATCTTGCTGGGATCTTATGACCCCAGCTGACTTCCTGCCGTTTGGGCGGGGGGCTGGACTCAGTGAGCTTCCAAGGTCCCTTCCAGCCCTGATGTCTATGAAATCTATGAAATCTATCATAGCCTATGAGGATGCAAGCCTTAATAAGAACACTGCACAAGGTTGGACCTAGTTTCTGTCCAAGCATGTGAAGAAGAACAAATCTGACTTTATCACCCAAGCCTACTTTAATCCCGAGTTCCAAAAGTCATTTTTCAAACAGTTGAAACAGATATCGAAGAAGGATAAAAACATCTGCATCGTTAGACTGCGCTGTGACATGTGTGAAACCAATTGAAACTGCATCAAATAAATGGATGACCAGCCGAGTAGCCGCTTCGTCTAGAGCAGCAGACGGCTGTTTGCATTCCTGAATTCCATCGTCTGTGATCATTATGACCTCCCTTCTTTCACTTTCACCTGTCATAGTTCCACTTAACACTGTAGTATAGAAGCTACTCTCTCTTCCTGTTTCACAAAAGTATTGTTTGTCTGACAGTTGTAATAACTCTTCATTTGCTGAAGAAGGCCAAAACTTCTCCATCTGAACAGGTAAAGGGGTGTCAGGATCCAGTTTTACAAACTATTGGTATAATAGTCTTTCTCCTCATTTGTTCACCTTCTTTCAATGACTTCTCCACAGAACTGTTAAACACAATGTCTATCCTCTGAACCGGTTGAAATTGGAGAGCTTTCCTCCACATGGTACCAAAAAGTTCTTGAAAAGTTTTAATTTTTTCGGTTTGGACTTGGCGTACTTGGGACATAAAGTCTACAATTACCACAGTTGTTTTGTTGCTGTTCTGATAGAGACTGTAATCAGATGGCTGGAGTTTCTTCTCAAACTCCCCTAAAAGAATTGAATCGGTTGGTTTAGTAAGAAGGCCCCAATCATCAAATAACGTGTTAGATGGCAGTAGATTGTACTTCTCTACGTTCTTAACAGACTCTCCTTGATCCTTTGCTATGTGTAGGATTTTCTCAGCAGCAGAGTAGGATTTATTTTCCAATGCCAAAGTTGGTTTATGGTTTTATACCTGCTTATCCCTATCAGAAACAAATCCTGGACATTTTACCTTCTTAATGGTAACTGAAACCTCTTTGTTTTCTGAAAGCTTCTTTGTTAATGAAACATTCATCTCTAAACTGCATATAAGCCTCCTTTGCACGTTCTCTGAATGAAAGTAGTCTTTCAGCTACCTCTCTTGGGACATGTTGCTTGCTTATGAAATTGTGAAGTTGCATCTGACTGAATGTGATATATGGGTTCCTTTTACCCTCCGTGAACTGGAACACACAGGAAACATGTGAGGCATCAAGGCTGAATTTCCAGGCAACTCATGGTGAATGGATGTCTCACAATACCTAGTTCTGTCAGACCCTGTTAATACTCAGAATGTATTGCTGATTGCAAGAATTTAATCATAAACAATTTCGCATTCATTAACATTTACTTGGATTGTAGGAAGGCTTTC